ACCGGGTGATCAGAAGCTTGGCCAGTGCATTCAGCGTTACGGAGACACCCCCCTTACTCTCTGGCCCTCTCTTTACCAGATGGATATGAAGGGTGAAGTCGATGGTGTGTACGAGTCTGGTCGCAAGATCGAGTCTCTCCACCACTGGAACAGTTGGTACACCAAGGACGTGGTCAAGATGACTACTGTGGCTGCAGCTGCAGGTCGCCGCTCGGTTCTTCGCCGTTGGGTCTTCGATCAGGAGGAGATCGTCAACAATGCTACTGGACGGTCAACCCGCACCTTCTGGGTCTTTACCAACGGATACTCGCTTGTCAAGTACACTTACGATGAGAACACCCCCGATGATGCCATCAACTTCGACCATGCCGAGAAGACCTGGGAAGAAGATCCCCGCGGTTATGAGGCCCGCCTCGGTCCTCTCCGCTGGAGGGATCAGGACGGTGTCACCAAGGATCGTTGGTTGTTGCGCGAAGCCTATGTTGTGGGTGACAATGTTCATCAGTGGTATGTGCGTGAGGAAGATGAAGGCCACAGCGTGATCGAGATTGTCTGGCTCGGTCCCAAGGGCGGTGGCGGTGCAGGCATCAAGGACTTTGCTGTTCGCAGGCAACACTGAGCCTTGAGATCAGACAATCAAAAATCATATGAACGAAACTAAGGCTGGTCCTTGGAATCTGCATAGCTTTTCTCTTCTTGCACATTTTTCATTCTCTTTATTTATTATTTTTCTGTTGCTTTTCCTATCTCTCTGCTGCTCCCCTATCAACACCTTTGCTAAATTACTTCGAATGTCGACGACGATATAGCTGAAAACAAGGACAGACGTATAAGGGATTGGATCGGGTGTATCAATTCTTTTCTCGGAACCCTGACCTCCTTCGGCATTTCTGTTCTCTATTGATTGATCATTTGTTTCATACTCGGCGTTGTCATCGGCGGAGTCAAGGAATGAGCGCGGTCGATCAAAGAACTGGGAACTGGTGGTTTTCAGCGGACGAGAAACTCGGGACTATGGCTCGATCAAGGTTTCGCCTCAATTCGGTGGCTTGATCGAGGTGCCAGCCCGGACACTACTACACTCTCTTTGTTTTTCCTTGTCTTTTTCACCGTGATGTTCGAGGCTTGATCCTTCTTGATGCATACCACTTGTAGAAATAGAACCTTTTCCGATCTCGCACGTCTCTCCCCGACCACGGAGTCGCGGTTAACGCTGGTTTGTCTTTTGCTTTGTCCTGGAGATTAGCGCATGTATCGTGGCGGGTGTTGTCCGGCCGCATATCACGAATTAAGTCTTAGATCTGTCTTTCTAGGCTCCTGGTATATAGAATTATAGATTCCTTGAATAATCTTAGCATTGTGTGTGTGTGTAGTCATTTCCAATTTAATTTCTTGACTGGTTTTGCCTGTGTCGGCCAGATGAAGTATAGCCGCTGTCGGCGTCTGTCGGAGGTTCTCGACTGACCTCACTGTCTATACTTCCGCAGCCTGTCAGTTCTAGCTCCTCTTCAGCACTGTATAAAAAGCATCCTACTGTCAGTAAGCTAGTACCCCCTACCAAGCCTTACATCCTTGTCGTCTCCAATCTCTCTCTTCATCGCCTATCCCTAACCGAATTCCAACCAACATTCAATCTCGAAGCATGGCTCCAATTATATCATATCGACAATCCGTCCCCTCCCCACAAGATAACATGCCCTCACGTATGTACTTACAGACAACGATCTCAGTTTCCCTTACTCACCCAGCAAAATTCCCGAGAACGTTCGCCCGCCGCAACACAGCCACATTTTTGGTTTTTGTTTGGGGGCTCTGGGATAGGCACTGCAGGCGGCGGGTTGAACTTGGAACCCGGGGGGACTAGAGCCTATCATGTTTCCTTGGGTGGTAGGACAATGTGAGGGGTGAGGGTTCTGGTTCCGGGGTTTGGTTGGTCGTGAGGTGCAGTGGGTGGTGTGGGTGAGATATATGATTTTGTCGGATTGGATTGTTTTGGGGGGTAGAGGGGGAGGGGAGACGGAGGGAGTAGGCGATGGATGATACTAAGGTAACCTGATATTTATACTGTGTTGATCTGGGGTTTGGGGGTTTGGAGTTTGGGGGTTTGGGGGCTTGGGGGTATGTACTGTTGTAATTGTATGTATGTGGCTCGGGGGATTGGGTATGGTGGTGTATATAGGTTGGTTGGTTGGTTGGTTGGTTGGTTGGTTGTCTATTGTGTTGTCTTTTTATGATATGCCTTCGTGGCTTGAAAGCTTTGCTACTTCGTCCGCGCTTGGGAAGGATATACTATATACCAAACTGATGGGATGCGGCCTGAGAACCTAAGGGAGGTATGCATCCGTCCTGGTTGTATCAGGGTGGGTTAGGTAGGTTTCTCCTGGGCTGCGAGCTCTCGTTCTCCAGTCAGGGGATTTGCGGGATACTTAGGGGGAGGGTTGGTGATATTGGAGGTGGTGGGATTTGGGGCTTGCTGGAGGGCGTGAAGGGTGATATCCGATCTCCTTTCTAGTTCCTCGCTTGCCATCGTTTGTCTTGCAGTACGGTACATGAGGATGACTTGGTGGTTGGTTGCTGTGTGCTATGCAGCTGGTCAAGAGGTCAGGTTGGATCGGCGGGTTTATTCTTTTCTTCTTTTAGGCCATGCCGTGGATGATGGGTCCAGTCGTAAGCTCGGAACGCCTGAAAGCTTGACCTTGGATCCTATCAAAGGCTTACCTATGCTTCTGGCTGAGGGTGCAGTGATGTGTGGGGTGTGATGAGGGGTTGGAAGTAAGTTTGGTGGGGAATTTGGGAGAATGTTACCCTGGAGGCTTTCGGTTTCGGGGTGGAAGTTGTGGGATCGATGGTGTGGGCTTTTGAAGGTTGGGATTGGATGGGACGGGATGGAGGATATATACCTAGTGTGTTGTGCTGAGCATGGTATAGTTGAGTGGGAGTTTGATGCTGGCTTGTTTGGCTGTTGTTGCAGTTGGCTGGTGTCTATCTTTTTACGTGTCTCTTAGTAAGGAGAGTCCGCGCAGCTGAATCTACTATATTTGGTGGATTTTGGTGGGATGAGGGTTGTTGCGTAGTGGTGTAGTTGTAGATTGTTTCATACTCGATAAAACATGGCGGACATCATGATCTCGAACTGTCACCGTCATCCCGGGTAGGATTTCCGCGGGGAGATCCTGGGTATATCATACGGAACAGGTCTAGTTCTATCCCATGACTTATGGCTCAAGGTACAGTACTATTCGGGCCCAGCCCTACAGGAAGGGGACCTTTGGTCGGTGGTGGATCGATCTTGCACGAGTTGGGAAATGATGATCGAGATTTCGTTTTTGTCAGGCAGTGTTGTGTTGTTGAAGATGTCGATATGGTTGTCCACGCTGGTTTGCTGGGGTTTCTGTGGAGGGCTGAGCACAGGGTAAGTTGTTCCAGCATCTGCGTACTTAGAAAACTACAGTCATCCAGGCTCTGGAATGTATGGGCCGGTTCCGGTTTCAAGGGATGGATGGTGCTTACCTGCGGAGGAGGATGTGTGTGGTCTCCGACTGGACAAGCTATTAGAGGACGGGGAAGATATATTATTGGTGCTGGGTGGGAATAATTGGGGCAATTATTGCTGATAGTAGGGCCTCAGGCTGCGTGCGTTTCCCCTGTGAATTTTCTGCTGTCAGTGGCTATTCTTGGATCCCTGCATTTCCAATGCTGGTGTCCGAGTATCGTTGTGGTTGGGGCGTTAAGTAATAGTTATGGTCCATGATTTATCGATAGTATATTGTTGAAAAGTGTCAATGAGTGTTGAAGAGGGAGACGGCTGGCATAGTAGGTAGGTAGGTAGGTAGGTAGGTAGGTAGGTAGGTACCTAGTACGGAGTAGTTACAGTAGGTAAATCCTGGCTGACTTGAGTTTATAGGGTTGCATGCATGCAAGAGCACAACCCGGGGGACAGGCGGCAGTTCAGTACGGAGGTGACTGTCTAGTTAGTGTAGGCTCTAGGATGGTGTGGAATGCACTTCCCCCTCCAGACTGTAGAAGTTTCTACCGAGCTGAGTAGCTGGTTGGCCTGCTGGTTGGCCTGCTGGTTGATCTTGGACTGAGAGCGAGAGAGTATTTAGCAGGTACTACAGTGCTACGCAGTCAGAACAAGGCGTCTGCAGGTCACTGGCCGGTCTCTCTGTGTCTCGGTAGCACAATTGCCAGGTCTGTAGTTGAGTTAGTAAGTTACTGGAAGTAGTAATGTTTTGGTTTTGGGGGCGAACTGCCCGCGCGCCGCTCCCCGTACTGCGTACTGGGGTTTACCGTACACGGGAGGAAGCAACGCTAGACCTGGCCAAGTGGAATGCGATTCTGAAGGTCGGCACATGACCAGATCTCAAGGACTAGTTGGTGATCAAAGTGATGAGCTTGAAGCTTGACAACTCAGAATCCTTGAGTTTTGCTGAATTGTGAGTGTATTTTCGACTACACACCTACAGTGTCTGCACACTAGAATCCCTTTCTGGATGGTGGATGGGAAGGAACCCAGCGGACAAAACGGATACGGTAATAAAACCTTGGGTGGGGAATGTGAGTTGGCCTCTACAATCGATTCCCCCAATGCCTTACTGCGGCTGCGCCAATAGACACTCGGGCCAAGAGCCAGGCTTCCCCACCGTCGGGTCTGGACACCGCCCGTATTGTGACCGAAAGATTGGAGCCAAGTTTGGGGGTGTGGTGAATAATGAGTATGCGGCGTTGCGGGAGAGCAACTCTGCAAGATGAGGTAGAGGAGGAGGAGGAGGAGGAGAAATGACTTGGAGGTACAGTGAAGATCAGTGGGCAATCAGTGTAGTCCCGAGTAACCTGAAGTACCTGTGGTTGTTGTACCAGTTCTACAAAAAGGGATGGAAGCTCTCTCCCCCGCCCCATGGGAAGATGGGAAGAATGCATCCATCCATCAGCCAGCGGTACGAAACCGGTTCCCGGGGGTACGATCAAAGATACCGAGCCCACCCACCGACCGATCCACGTGACTGACCGCCTGCCTGTCCCAACCGGCACTTTGCCTTCTTCGACCTTCTCCTCACTCAGTCGCTTCCCCCCCGTTTTCTCTTTCCTTCTCGTCCTGAACCCAAACCCTGCGAAGCAAACGCGTTACTCGATTTGGTCATTCTCCCTCCCCCTCAAAAGCATCATTCCTCTTTGGGCATTTGTCTTCACGTCCCCCAGTATCTTCCTTCCTCACTTTACTCTCTCAAAGGAATTCATTTTCGTTCAAGTTTCCTCCCTCCTTCCCCCCTCTTAATCACCTCATTCAAACCATGGCCGACATCACCGCCGTCGGTGAAGAGAACCCTTCTCCCACTCAGGACGACCTGCAGCAGGCCGCCGGTAACGGCGCCGCTGACAACCGCGGCACCAAACGCTCTCGCATGAGCGCTGCCGACGACGACGATGACGATGATGACAAGCCAGGTCGCGAGCGCAGAAAGATTGAAATCAAGTTCATTCAGGATAAGTCGCGTCGCCACATCACCTTCTCCAAGCGGAAGGCGGGTATCATGAAGAAGGTACGTGCTTGCGCGTCTCAGCCCCGTCAACCTCTTTTTTTTTTGCCCACCCTCGATCATTTACAATTGAAGTCGATTCGCGACTATTTGTTCTTTGTCGCTACATGAGCCCAAGATCTTCCGCATCAATGCGTGATGCTCGCGTGAAGTCATTGTCCCCATCCGCTTGACTAGTACTGACGCATCATCGCGGTCGCAAAACAGGCATATGAACTTTCCGTCCTCACTGGTACTCAAGTACTGCTTTTGGTCGTGTCTGAGACCGGTCTCGTGTATACTTTCACCACCCCTAAGCTCCAACCATTGGTGACCAAGCCGGAGGGCAAGAACCTGATTCAGGTGAGTGGCGTCCGCTAATGTCTCGGTCAATTGAGCCCGATTGACTCACACTTCTCCATTGCAGGCCTGTCTCAACGCTCCCGATCCGACCGCCAATGAGAACGGCGTCGACGCCCCGGAGGTGCCTGCTGAGACTCCCGAAGATGTCAGCCACGCCAATGTCAACCCTCAGCAGCAGAACATGCCCCGCCCTGCAGGCATGCACCCCGGTTACATGACGAACGAGCAGCAGCAGCAGATGGCCTACTATCAGAACCTCCAGCAGCAGCAGCAAGCAGGTCAACAATATCCCGGTATGCCTGTAGGCAACCGGATGCCCCCTCAGCATCAGCCCACCGCATAAGCTGTGTGTCTTTGAGTCCCTCCCGCCGCGCGCTCTAAGGAACCTGAGGAGCTTAGGCAAGTTGTTCGCATCCTTGTCAAACATCAGCCCGCGCAACGCTTGCTCCTCCACGGCCTTTCTTTGATACCCAGACGATTTGTTCCCTCACCTATTTGGCACACTTCCGAAACCCAAAACCAGATGAAAAAAATGTGAAAAATCCGGTCTACGCTGTATGCCAGAAAGCAATCCAGAATATCAAGAGGAGGGATGATTTCAATGTCTTTTTCCATACTCTGTATATCGTCGAACTGTTGGTGCTGCATGCAATCCGAGTCGCGCTGATCTCAGCATTTGGCAAGATCGCGTCTGCTATATCCGCCCCCCCCCCCCCCCCGTTTCACCATAAATGCCAAACAGCCTATTAAACAGAAAAAAGCTCAATTGAGAAACAGAAAAACACACAAAAAAACAAACCCAAAGGCCAGAATGGATGATCGAATCATGAAGGATGCATTCCGAAATCTGGGAAAGGCTCCCAGGCAATATATTGATTTTCTTTCCTGTTTTCCCATTCATTCTACTAATGTCTTTCCTAGACGACTGCTGGGAAGTGGCGGTGTTTCTGGTGCTTTCTTTCTCTCTTCTCCCTGTGTCTGCTGACCTTTTCCTCTTTTTGCGGGCGAAATGGTTCTCTGTTAGCTCTGATTATCGAAATGCGTGTGTGTGTATGCGCGAAGTATATGTGTTCTTATCATAAATTGTCATTTCTTTTCTTTCCAAACCCTATCCTCCACCCATGCAGTGACTTAATCCCTTGTGATTTCCTTTTATGCAGTTCCCTCTCTTTCAGGAAGGAGTGGGCGGACAAATGCCATGTATGATCACTCCTCGAGATTCTCTTGCCATGATTAGCGTATCGTAGCGGCGGGTAGCTTTCCTACCTTGCTGTTCTCATAGGACTCTACCCTTGTGCTGGCTGTATCCATATGGGAGAATCTATATAGGAAATCAGCCGATGAGTTGGTTGCTGGCAGAGCGATGGAGACAGCAGTCAGCATTGTACTCGTACAGTTCCCGCACCGGGCAGATCTTCCAATGATGTCAGATCCTGATGATATCAGGGCCGGGCATATCCCTCCCCCCCTAGGCGTGGCAACTAGCCAACAACAGTAAAAGTACGGGGAGAAAGGATTACAACATGGTCGTATGGTCGAATGGCGCTTGGGTGGGATGCTGCACTACGGTCTTGCTTTGGGGGAGTCGCTGGGTTATCGTTTGATTGCATGCGTTTCATGTGGGTATGACTGCGAGCATTGATAAAAGTGCTTGAGTCACTATAGGCTTGTTTAGGAAAATTGGATGTGAGACTGGATCTTTGCTCGATTGATAGGGATTCTGCCTACGGCTATGTCTTCTGTCTGGCCTGGTCTTTTCGGGGTTGTCTATCATGCAGGGTTACGTTTAGGGGAGGAGAAGGTATAGCGTTCGTTTTGTTTTGGCTTTGACTGTGGTTAGAACTGTGTATTTGGTTGGACTTTGGTATAATAGGTTATATGGAATGTATGGATTTGTTGTTGTACATTAAGTGATAGAGAGGCTCGGGTGGGGTCTACTGTTTGAGACATATATGGTGCTGCTGGCTGTCCAGTAGAAAGGTCTATGGGAAAGGAAGGTAGGAAGAAGGAAGGAAGAGGTCGAAGCAGAATCAGAAGAGAAAGAATGACTATTGCTGCTCGAAGGGGCCATCCGAGTGAGCCTCGAGGTCTGGATCATGGTCGGACGGTTGGCGCCCCCGATTCGACGACGTCCAGCGAGTGAGGGTCCGTACGCTTCCCCACGCCTGGCGGAGAGCTCTCCTCGGACCAGCGAGGAGCGCGCCCCCCTCACCCCTATCTGCACCGGGTGAGAGGTGCAAGGATCCCTGGCGACGGTGGTGGGAGGCAACGAGGCTGTCGCTTCGTTCGTCTTGCGTGCCGTAACCTGTGACCCGGGCACCCGGGCCATTGGCGGTCCCCTGCCGGTGAAGAAGGAGCTGGCGGTTTTCCGAGGCGGGAGCCGATGTTCGCCGTTGTTTACGGTCGAAGAGAGAGTACGGGTTGCGGCGCTGATTCCAGGCAGATGGTTGACCCACGGGGTTGGTGGTGGAGCGGCGTGGGCCTCGGAGAAGATTATCTCGCAGGGTCGTTGCGCCACTTCGGCTGCGCGGTCGTGCTGGGAAGGGCCCAGCCGAGGCGCGTTTGCGCTGACCCGACCGCAAGGCGAACGCCGCGTATTCGTTGTCCGAATCATCGAGTTCGGCCCAGATGGAAGCAGGATCCACGTCCGCTGTCGACGTCGTCGAGTCCCGATGGCTCAACGGTGCGTGTAACAGAGGTAGACTGGGTGCCCGTTGGTGCGGGGTGCGGCGAGGAAGGTGAGCTGTTTGCAACAGTGGCTCCCGCTCCGATCCCTCCTCGCCGTCGAGTCCCAGGCCAATCGGTGATGTCGGAAGTTCCTCAAGGACGGCCAACCCTGGACCCAAACCGGTTTGCGTGGGCCCGGACACGGCCACAGCGGCGTGACTGTCGATATCCTCTAAGCGCCAGGACAGACAGAGCACTCCGCTCAGGAGAACAATCGTCCCCAGCGCGATAAGTCCCGCGTGGAAGCCTCCCAGCTGGGACATTTGTTGGAAATAGACCAAACCATCTATGATAGCAATAATGTTATAGATGCAGAAGACAAACGGATACAGAATGCTGGTACTGCACAGTTTCAACCCGCGATGGAGGTAGAAGAGCTGGAACAGAGCCAGCGCTATCATTGCAAGCAGAATGACCCATGATTGCCAGCGGTTGAATTGATTGACGCGATCCACGACAGTCCGAACCAACAGCTCGACAGCCGATTTCGCAAGCAAAAGAGTGTGCGCGGATAGTATTCCGCTGATCATGCCAAAAGAAAGCCCGCGTATGAGGCGAACACGCCCCAGGGACATTTGCAGTGTCCTGTAAGAACCGCGCGACCCCGTATGCTTGGACCGCGGCGGTGACGTAAGGAAATCGAGCAGTCTGGACCCTGCGTAGATAGCCAGCACCATCAGAGCTGTGCCTCCCATCCAGAGTACGAAGTTTCGACGCTGCAAAAGCTCCAGGAGTTGATCAAGACTATGCGCCGGCTCTCCCAGGGCACCGAATATTGCGATGAGCAATGCACCAATGCAGACCAAAAGTGTGCCCACCAGAGAGTATCTTGTAAACGCTTCACCGAGGATCAGAGTGGCAAAGACGGTGTTGAAGACGAGACCGGACTAAAGCGCGGGAGTTAGTGAAGCTCTGTAAGTGTCGTCGTAGGGCTAGAGACTGACTGCTTGGAGTGTTGATAGTACCGGGAGCGGAAGGGTTGTGATTTGTATAGTACTGCCAACAATGTTCGCAACGACGAACATGAGCATACCCAGCTAGAAAGAGAATCGCGCGGTTAGACCATTGCGAGGCACTGGAGGAGAAACATGCGCTGCGCACCTGCCATCTTCGACGTTTGTAAGGCGGTCGACGTAAATCGTAAGGGTGTTTCTCGTCCTCGAGGATATGCGACTTGCGTTGGAGGGTCAGTCCGATAGCTTGAAGACTGGTCGAGATCAACCCGACGACGACTCCAACCTAGCAGGAGGAAAGGAAGTTAGCTCTTCGATAGTCAATCGCGGAAATCGAACCAATAACTGACCGCGACGCTCCCCTGAGGTGACAGGTCACCGAGATTGCCCATTGCGAAGGTTGTCCTCATGCATTGGCTGCTGAGCGGGGAACGAGAGACCAGGCACACATCAGACTGGGGAAGGACAGGCTAGCAGTCCAGACTCCATTGTCTGACGGAGGCGATGGTAAGGACAGAGGAGGATTTTAGGTGGTATATTTAGGCGAAGAGCAAGGAGCGAAGGGTTATCGTGTCAAATAGGGAAGAGGAAGAAGGGGAAGGTAAGTTAAGTTTAGTTGAGGGGGCAATTTGGGGCGGAGAGAGAGACATTGAAGAGTAGCCGCCAAGCTGCGATCCGATCAGCAGATCCCGCCAAGTGCGACGCTTGCTGCTTGCTCTCTCCCTCTTGTCTTTTCTCCCTTCCCTGCCCCTCCTTCCTTCAGGTCGCTTAACTACATTTTACATTCCGTACCTCTACGTTCAGGTGAGTTTCCTCCTTCTGCGTGGTGGCTCCTCCTGACCCCCTTCATGCAAGTGGTCTTGTTGTTGTTGTTTGTTGTACAGTACAATCACTATCAGTGCCGACCGGGAGTATCAGAGTGACAATCAGGCTGACGTTGGTCTCTTCTTAGTGCTCCACCCAGAAACACTCCTCCGCATCGGGAAGCTCGAACGGCCCTCAACATACCTACCAACCGACCTACCTACCTACCTACCGATAACCAGTCTTTCGCTTTTCCTTCTTTTCCCTTTGTCTTGTGAGACTTCATCAACACACCGTCACCATGTCGCAAAGTCATGCTCTTTCCGATGACCAGGTACGCAACCATTGCTCATTCCCAACCGCCCCCCTCCCCGCTACGGAGGCGACTGTCAGGTCCCCGAACTCACAACGCTCTACAAATAGGTTGCGGGCGAGCTCCGCAAGATGACGGCCTTCATCCGCCAGGAAGCGGTGGAGAAGGCCCGCGAGATCCAGCTGAAGGCCGACGAGGAGTTCGCCATCGAGAAGTCCAAGCTGGTCCGCCAGGAGACCGCCGCCATCGACACCCAGTACGAGAAGAAGTTCAAGCAGGCCGCCATGTCCCAACAGATCACTCGCTCCACCCTCGCCAACCGCACTCGCCTGCGTGTCCTCTCCGCCCGCCAGGAGCTCCTCGACGAGCTGTTCCAGCAGGCCCGCGAGCAGATCTCCGGCATCGCGGCCAAGGATGCCGACAAGTACCAGACCGTGCTGAAGGGGCTGATCCTCGAGGGGCTATATGCGTTGAACGAGGACAAGATCGGCGTGCGGGCGCGCAAGCAGGACTTTGACACTGTCAAGAAGGCGATCGAGGAGGCCGAGAAGGAGTTCCACGAGACGGTCGGCAAGGAGGTCACCGTGGAGCTGGACGAGGAGGAGACTTTGCCGGAGGGATCGTGAGTCAACCTTTTTTTTTGTTCTTTCTGGTTTCCCTGTCTTGGTGATTGTCCCCCTCAAAAACTAACGTCTTATGATTGTTGTTATTACCCAACAGTGCAGGTGGTGTCGTGATTGTGGGCGGTCAGGGCAAGATCGAAATCAGCAACACGTTCGAGGAGCGACTGCGTTTGCTGGAGATTGATGCTCTCCCCGCCGTTCGAGAGACGCTCTTCGGCAAGAACACCAACCGGAGGTTCTATGACTAGAAGTGGCTGGGACTGTTTGGTTGAATTTGCCCCCCTTTAGAGACATTATCTGACCTTGCTGTACTGCCTCCCCTCCCCCACCCAACCCCATGTATCTATTGTACCTGTCGTTTCTTCTTCTTCTCCCCCCCCACTGAAGATCGTTCTAGCTCTGTATACAGGCCCTTACCGTGTTTCTATTCTCCGTGTCTGTCTGGAGTTCCAATTCGAGCCGAATGATGATTTTAAGCTTTCCCCGCCCCCTCGTTTTGTGCTGATTCGATGCCGGTGCCGAGTGCCTACGAATTGTAAGCGTAGAGTGTGGGATATATCGTGTGTACGTGGACAGAGCGGGGATTGGAATTGCATTCCAAAAGGAGGTTTGTTTGTGGATAGCAAAAGTTTATTCTATATATACAGAGGCCGCCTGAACTACGAGTACCAAAACTACAACCAGTAGATCATCGCTTGAAGGATTTATGGAGATTGCAACGTTCCATGGGCTTGGATATTAATAGACCTACGAGGGCCTTCTTGTTTCCTCCACTACTGCTATCGCTCAATGTGAGGCAGACTCTGGGCTAGGATACTTCGATGTTGGTGCTCGACAGACGCGACCAAGGGGACCGAGCAGTCCACCCTGTGCAGGAGGTTCAAATGCGACCACGAATGCTGACTTGTGCGCAACTGGAGCAGAAAGTACGAAATCGGGCAGGAGGCCGGTTGAGCCTGAAAGAGAATCATAATGTTCACAGTCAGTCCGGGGTTTGCACAGTACCGATTCAAAAGCAATGGCCCGAGGTCTGTGAGCATGCTGTAACGGTGTTGGCCTGTGGCTGCTGCATTACACGTTGCTGCAGCGCGCTTTCGTGCCGTGGAGGATGGTTGCAAGGTGCAAGTAGGTCAGCAGGTCGCAGTGGAGCCCGAGCCCTGTATTTCACCCCCGGTCGCATTGGGACGGCTCCTTATAACCTGGCAGTATGCCGTCGAGAGCTGCATGAGGGCTGCAGCGATTGTATGTACGGGGGAGATTCGCCACTCCACTAACTATGACTGCGAGGGCCACGGAAGATGCATGAAAATAGAAGGGGTACCGTACGCTTCACCGGGGAGGGGCCTCGTGTTGTCGGATTGGTATCTCTGTCCCAGCGCCAGCTTTGATTGCACTAGCTTTGATCTTTGGCAAGAACCCTTTGAAGGCTTCCCGGTCATACTCCCGGGCTTCAATGGTTCCGTAGATCGACTTCTTCGGACGCGGCTTTGTCCTGACGCTATAGACGATACGGTAGTGCAGGGTCTCAAGGGCTTCTTTGGCCAGTGTGCGCTTTAGATGGGAGGCACCGGAATCCTCGATCAAGCTGAAGACCTTCTTGAGACGGTCGGCCACGATATCCACCTGCGTGTTGAATGCTTTTTCAGCTTCTCTGTCCGCAAATTCTGCCTGGTACCGGCCTGAATCAACAGCAATGTTGAGAAGGGAGGTGATGGCGAGAAGCTCTCCATAGTCGTACTCGGGTTTGTCTTTGCCTTTGTACTTCTTGATGTCAAAGGTATCCCGCTTGAGGATGTCGGTGATTCGCGTCAAGCTGAGAAGCTCGTTTAGTGGCTCGCACAGAGGCGCTGGGTTGTCGAGTAAGAAGCACACGGCTAGACGACATCGGATTAGAGCGATCCAGTCAGCTTCCGGCAGTATATGCTTGAGAAGGCGGCTTTGGAATGTTGCGTCTTTAAATGTGTTGAGTGTCGTGGTGCAAACGCGATGTATCTAACAATGTAAGTGGATTGACATATTATCGTTTAGAAATCCAGACTCACCAAGTCCTCTGCTGTTTCCTCCGAAGAGCTCTCCAAGACGGTAACTATTGCCCTCTCAATTTCCGAGCTGATGGTGGCGACGCTTGTAAGAGTCACATCGAGCGTCATTCGGAATAAAACGCTCAACAGGTATTCTCGGGTGTCGTCTGCGAATCTATGAATCGATTAGCACTCGTTGAAAGGCATACGATTTGAGAGACTTACAAATCAGCTGCCCCGCAGATCAGATCCAGGACAGACAACACTAAGCCTTGGTGCCGGGAGATAGATTGGAGGTAATCTGCAATGGCTTAATATCCCGGAAGTCGCACTCCTAGGCTTGCTTCATACCTTTGGGATCCGCATCTGGAACGATATGTTCGTGAATATCTATTGCATTCGGAATTGCTCCTAATCGTTTGAAGAGTATGCGAAAGTCATCTGGCCGTATGAGGGCCTTAACATGTTTAGCATTTGTGTTCTGGGATCAAACAGTTAGTCAGTAAAGCATACAAATATAGGCTACGAGAGCACATGTCACCTTTATAGCCCTGCAGTACGCATGTCTGATACTGTCCTGTGGCTCCATCGGTACTGATGGCCGACATTAGCAGTGCGAGGAGCTAAGAAGCCTGAAAGGACTCACTGGAGTGGAAGATCCATGAGATCACCTCGTCCGGCAAGAATGACCTGGAGAGAGCAAAATCAACGATACCAGAATGAAAAGCTCTCTCCCTCGAATGATTTGCTGAAGCGAATGAGCTTTGAGCTAGTTGTCATCAATTAAAGGAATACTTACCTGTTAACGAGGTCAGATACGATCTCGGACTAATACATTCTACCGGAAATTCAAGTACAGGAGGCAACTCGTCCTTGAAATCAAAGAAGTGCCAAGCCTTAGTCGGATCAAAAGCATCTGTTCTGCGTAGAGCGTGAAGCAGACGTTGCATGTCCATCTCGTCATCGTTGTCGCCCAGAGCTGACGTTAGAATCCCTTCATGTAGCTGTCCCCTTCGACGGGTGGATTCATTAGCCGCCCTGTCGAAAGACGCCCTTAGCTTAGCGATACCAGCCTCAGTCTCCTGATCATCAACCGCGGCAGTGACGAGGGAGTCAAGGTTATTCTTATACGATGGGACAGGCTTTTCCAGCCGGGCGAGTGAGTCGGTCTTTGCCGAAGCTGTGCGGCCAGGACGTGAAGGCTCTGAAGATGTAGAATGGTTCGGTTTAGCGAATCTCATAAAAAGGTCTGCGGGAGACTCTAGTGAGCCTATGGAGTCAGTGTCCTCTCCATCAGAGCCCATCACGACCTCTTTGCCGTGCTTGACAACACGCTGCGAGAAGTTAAAGCTCGATCCTGGTACCAGACTTGCAGGTGACGGGGAGCTATCACTTTCTGTCTCATTCTTGAATGTGTCATGGATAGATGGTGTCAGCGAAGCTAGTGGTTCATGCGCTGGCCTTTCTGGGGTCGAAGATCCATCTTTTGAGAAGAAAGATGACGATACTTCAGTGAGAGGAGAAGATTGCGGAGGGGCCGGACTAGGATGCTTGGCTGAAGGCTCCTCTCCAGGAGGCTCCTGGCGAATGTCTTGGTTGCTTTCGTTAGTTGCAGCGAACACTGGACGCTTGAAATAACTGCTTATGCGTCGCATACTGGGCAGATGAGGGGCACTGAGACGCTGTCATGGAAGAATGACCTGCATGCTTTGTTCAGTTTAGATCTCCGCATTCTACGGAACACGTCGGGCGCGTCTCCCCATTCGCGAAGTCACATGACACAATACTATGAAAGCATGGTTATATGATGGAGATGGTACCTATGGTTAATTCGTACAGTGCCCCAAACAGCACAATTGGCCCAATTCGCAACAAAGAAAATTAATCCCTCTCAAGCTGTATTTTTAGTTATGGGACACAGGCATCAGCGCCAAAACCGGATTTGCTTCCAGGCACCGCCCCATCGTTTGCTGTTCCCGTCTCAGATTGCTATCTCATATTATGACCGTCTCCGTTCAGATTCGTCAGCTTTTCCCCATGCACCGTGACCGTTATGTAGGGGCTACTCCGTCCAGTGGCACAATATCCAGATAAATGATGTGGGGGAGGGATTCCTTCCGATGTTCATAATTTCCCAGGGGCAAAATATTATTACGGCCAATTTTTTCCATTATTTCTCCGAATGATCATACAGACTTCCAAAAAATACGGTTTCTTCCAAATTGTCGTTCACTAATCACCATCCATTGCTTACCAGGAAATCCCCTGTCGCCTCAGATTTCTTTGTCCGTCTGTTCTTTTCGACCCCAAAACAGGTCAGCCAGAATGCAGCTTGAAGGGGGCCAAAGAATAGGAAGCAATGGGTGTCGATTCGCCCAAAGTCGCTGTCTGCTCTTCAACCCAGGTGGGAAAACGAGCAATCCAACCTTACACTTCATATTTCTAGCTCAGAATCCTTCCTGTCTGATCGCTCTCGGATGTGGCCCAGGGGCTGGGAGCGGTGCAGATCTCAGGGTTAGTACGCCATGCCGACCACACTGTGCTTGGTAGCCTACAACTTTGGTCTCCACACGGGTTCGTGGCCGATCTATCCAGTCGGTGTCATATTCCATCCTTCCCGCAAGGTACAAGACTCCAAAGTACTCATAGTACGGCTATTTCAGTGTCCGTCTTCCGCTTCAGACGCGATGCACCCTCTCGGGGTTGTCTGACGGGAAGAGGCAGACCTGGCGCCACCGTTTTATGGAATCAATACTTGATTGTCAAAATGAACATGTGCGAATAGGATAAACACTGAAAATGCACGATTGTTTCGAGAAAGGATGTGCCTATCCTCCATAAAGTGGGTGAGAGTGTCAACAGTACTTGAGTCAGACGAGGCTATGGTGGCCAATTCTTACCCAGCCCCCTTGGGCCGGAACGAATAGCAATGGCGGCAAGAGCACAGGCGAGATTAACAAGACTTGTTTGTGTATGTGTGTGAAATGTGAAGCTATTCTAAGTTGTTCAGAGGAACCAATTCAGTGCAGAAGCTCAAATCGGTTCACTTGCGCGTCAACACTCTGGCATGAAACTGATGTCTGACTGAAACACTTTCGACCGGGTACAATGCTGGATGATCGACTCCGAACTAGCCCCCCAATGAAGGAACACACTTCCAATGCAGGTTCACAAGAGACCAGATAATCCATGCGCAATAGTCATGGAACCATACCAAAGTAACCAAACTGTATTGGGTGAGAGGTTTGCTCCTCTTTGGCCTTGCCCAGAAGCCAAGACAGACCAACAAATATAGAGAGGAAGGCAAAAAAAGGGGGGGAGTAGAGGATAATGATTGCTAGGAGAGCCGAATCGACAAGCGGATAGCAATGGTATCCGGTAGCCGAATTTACATAATCAGAAGGGTTGACAACTTAGGCTGTGCGCATACGGAATTAATGAAAATTGAATGTAATGATTGACAACCGCATAATCCACCAGTGAGCTGATTGTTGTCCGTTGGGCTATCTAGCTGGTCAGTCAGTCTACGGAATTAAGATGTGGTACCTCTCCGCGCTCCGTTGAGGTGGAGCATATCC